ATCTTCTGTAGCTTGCGCTTAGCTCCGAGTTCATCAGTTTGCATTCCTGACAGACACAGCTTTTATGCTGGTTTCCTCATCACGTTTGTGTGTGTGTTTGTAGGTAGCCATCCAACAGCCTCTGCGCTCCTCTTCACTGGTAACCGTTCCTGAAGTGGAGGGACTAGGATATGGTTGTCCCATTGTTTTAGTGCAATTCCCTTTTGCTGCTCCCAGATGGGTCCAATTGCAGCTGCCAGATGTGGTCATGGATATGATATGCAGATTCGGGAGGCAGGAGATACTGCCTTGTGCTTACTACAAGGCTAAGGTTAGCATGAGATTGTCTGTACCTCAGTGCACAGCTTTGCCTCTGGGTTTATTATCCCCTGAGTACACCCAACACTTGAATTTAAAGTTTAGTAGTTGTAATAGTTAATTGTAATAAAGCTATTGTGGCTGAGGCAAAACAAATCAAATAATCAGGCTTAAAACAAAACTAAAACCCAAAAGCAACATAGTGTTATTTTAGAAAAAAAAAAAAGCACATGTAGCTGAACTAATACTCCTGACGAGCGAGGACATGGATTTCTCTCAGGGCATCCTGCAGTCCTGTAGGGAAGAAGTGACCTTATTTGCATTTTTCTTGTTGAGTTGCTGTCAGGATTTCTGCAGAAAGGCAAGAGAAAATTCCTCCAGGAGATCATGGAAATATCACAGCACTAACTCAATATCCTTCAACGAGGTTCCTTTTCCTCAACCATAATTTCTTTGCCCCTTGCAAGGCTGTCTGGCCAGCCATCCAGCACTAAGCATCGTGTCCACTTCTCTCAAATGCAACTGTTGTTGTCATTTTTCTTAAATTAAATCCTGAAAGCAGCAGGCCATGAATACAATATGTATCTCCCATGAAATAAACATTAAAGATGGTTTGAACTTTTCCCTGTAATTTCAAAATTGTCAAAGTTGCTGCTTGCCCCATTTCCAGAAATGGCAATCTGTGCTCTTTCCTACACCCTCGTGCAAGCAGAGCAAGGACCCTCCCCTCCCCGTCATTAGTACTTTCACGTTTGTGTGCGCCTTTCCAACGGCAGCGTTTTGAATTTGAGGTTTATGATTTTGGACGCTTTTATCAGGAGCATTTTCAATTCTAATCATGTCCTCTAAAATTGTTTGGAATCTTTCCCAGCATGATGTCCTGTCCCAACTTTATGGCTGTGTTGAATTTAATTTTCTGTCTCCTCAGCAAAAGTATTTCCTAGACCCAGATCTTAGGACAGACTGCTGTAGAACTTGCTTGAAGTCTTCTCACACTTTAATGACAACTGATACAGAATCACAGAATCACAGAATCGTTTAGGTTGGAAGGGGCCTCTGGAGATCATCTAGTCCAACCTCCCTGTTCAAGCAGGGTCACCTAGAGCCTATTGCCCAGGATCACATCCAGACGGGTTTTGAATATCTCCAGCGAAGGAGACGCCACTACCTCTCTGGGCAACCTGTTCCAATGTTCTGTCACCCTCACAGTGAAGAAGTTTTTACAGGAGAAGATTAATTTTGCAGAAATGTATCACTTTAGTTTTAAAGGTCTCTGTTTTGCCAGCCCATTGGATTCAATTAGGACTGGTAAGTTCTTCAGTAGAGGCTTAGAAATCGGAGAGGTGAGGTGCTGCAGTTCACAGCCCAACTTGTTAGCAGAATTGTTATCAATGGAGGTTTATTTTAAAATCCAGGCTTTTCACTGTGGCTGCTCTGAATTCCTGGTCTGCTGTCTCACAACAGGCTAATTAAAGAGGCAGGATTCCAGGTAAGGGGTCTAGTCGTTACAGCAAGTCAGAAACAGTGCAACTTTTTAAACTTTTTTTCCTTACTGTCTGTTGGGAGTAATAAATGTGTTTGATCTGGACTTTAGGTCTTAATTCATCAGTAAGTCAGTCAAACAAAGACGAGCTAGTAGTCCTAATCACTACGGGGATTTAAACACACTTAAGCTAATACTCAGCATCTTTCAGAGTGCAAAGCAAATCTGATTAAGTTTAATAAATTAACTTTGTCATCTGAATTTCTGTGTACTTATTGGTGGAGTTATGAAATTGTTTTTTAAATTGTAGAGAAAAAACTTGTTGAGTATCACCTTCCAGTGAGAGCCAACAGTGAGTACGGCAGAGCTGTAAGTGAAGCTCTGAGATAAACATCATGTAAGTCTTTCTTCTGCTACCGACCATGTTTACTGTTTCAGGAACACTCTCAGCTGTGCTTTTAAACTTGCTGTGTAAGAATACGCACATACCAGCTAAATAGTAACAATATTATGGACAAATAGATGTGGCAGGTGTGATAAAGGGCTTTGATATTAAAAAACCTTATATATATGATATTTGAAATATTTAGAATTTGTTTCACAAAAAAAAAACCAATTTAACATTTTGGGTTTGTCCAATGAAAGACTGCATAATTCTGAGTTTACTGTATAATATAACCTTTATTCTTTTTTCCTCTAAACTCTTGGAAACTTACATAACAATCGTGCTTTTTAATTATGACACCATTTATAGACATTTAAAATGCATCTTAATTTATAAATATTTTACATTTGGTCCATAGAACAGGTTGAAATTTACTAAATAATACTGTACTCTTTTAAACAGGCTCTGTATATATTTTCGAATATGTATATATTACATATATATTTTTATATAGAGATAGATTTGCTTGGTGTTCAGATAATTCCTTATTGCAAAAAGCATATATGATCATACAATAATTTTTTTTCAGGGCAAGTACTACAAAAAAGATACAGCTATTCACAGTTTACACACAGTAGTTCTACAACACTATTTTGTGCTATATGATACGTTTGTACAGCTTTTTGCTAAAGAGCATGTCTGTCAAACATCTGTCATAATTGTTTACAATCAAACATTAAATACTGCATTTTTCTTAGAACAACATGGGACTTGATTACATTAAACAATAAAGAGAAAGCTGGAATTTTTATCCTTAGTCTAATGAAATTCACAATTATAATGTATATGTATCATGTATAATGTGTGTGTAGGATGTATGTTTTTCCTCTAAATCCCAAAGACTTACAGGACTACAGCATTTCAGCTATAGCCACTTAGGATGTAGCTTAGATTTCAGAATATTTTACAATTGATCTATGTATGAAACAGTTTAGAATCTACCAAACAATACTCAAGAGATTTTTATGATGTAGTTTGAAATGCATGTATATTATATATATATTATTTCTACAATAATGTGCTTGACATTCTGAGAATACCTTATTGCAAGAACATGTTTGTCACCTTCAGACAAAAACAACAAAAAACCCAACATTCACAGTTAACATGTTTTTCACGTAGTAGTTCTACATAAATTGTGCTATCTAACATTGTACGTTGCACAAAAATTTGCTGAAAAGCATGTTTCATTGCACAGTTCTGTCAAAGTCATTTACAATCAAACATCAAATACTTCATCTTCCATAATCCTTTGTGCCTGTCTTATAGCTGCCGAACAAGAAATACCATACAGGGCTAACTTGCATTTTCCACACAGGGGAAGACTTCCGTTAGCTGACTGGGCTTTCCAACTGTGTGGCAAATGCAGATAGAGCCGAGAGTGGAGATTTTTATTGAAATAGCTTTTCCTCATGCCTTCATCACCACAAATAATATGCAACTAAAAAATAAAACTGTTTTCAAAGTGCTAAAGATCCGTATTTTATAATTTGCTTATTAGAAACTGTTAAAGACCTTAACAGATTAAACAGAACAGTCATGAATTAAACCCTAAATTAGAATTACAAAGATAAGCTTCAATCTTTAAGTCATTGTTTTGGTTTCTATTTTAGTGGCAATGTAATAATACTGTAACAATAGCAGTACAGCTCAAGTACTCCAAGCTTGAACTGCAAATACTTTATATTGCTTTTTCCTGGGAATCTTTAAGAGCGCTTCTTAATAGTTGGATATTACTATTCATTTTGCTAAAAAGTTAGTTAGAATTCATATTTTTGCCTCTAAAATCTGCATTTCATGTAGCATTGATTCACAAACAAAAATATTTTATTTTTATAAGAAATAGGATATATTAGTTTAAAAGAAATTCATAATGTTATGTAAAAATTATCCTGAAGAACTAAGTATAGATACTGTTTATAGCCATTCTATGCTGGATTGCTACAAATAGCCATATAACTTAATTTGCACTAGGAATATTTATAAAGGCTATGTCTACCATGACTCCAAGTTAATTGAAAGAAGTCTCTTCCCCCGCAAATGGCATGTACTGGAACAAATTTTAAGGGCAGACTTTTTTCACTGGAAATCACCTGTTTACAAAATACTTCATTCTTGTGTACAAAACAATTTCAAATTCAATTTTCCTCTTGCAAAATCAGAAATAACAGTCTTGGGATTCAGCAGTAAGAAATACTGATAAACTACTAAAAATCAGCAGCACAAAACTTCAAATTGTTGTGCTAAAAGGTAGATTAAAAAGGTCTTGCACATCAGATTACAAATTCCAAGATATGCAACTATTATTGTGAAAGGATAAAAACATTAACAGTCTGTGGATTGCCAGAGAACACAAAACACTGTTAACAGCTGAGCTCACGCAATGGTTGGATCATACCCATGGTGATTCTCTTCTTATATAGTGGAGGTGAACTTTTTTTTCTTTTTTCTTTTTCTTTTTCGTTTTCTTTTTCTTTTTTTTTTTTTTTTGCCACTAGAGGTAGGTAATTATATTCTCAGACATAAATTTGTGGTCATATTCAACCATATTTTTTGTTTTTCTGGAGTAGCATTGGTACTTTTACAATACAGAAGTTTAGATATAGGCTTCTTTGTTTGCAGAGTTGCTTTGTTGGGCCTGATCTGGCCCATTTTCAGGATGACTGATGTCTTCGCTTGGCTGAATCATTACTTGGATGCGCTGTTTAAAGGGAAATAAAAGAAGTGAAGCAGTCAACAAATGTTTCTAAGGTGGTTTTTTTTTTTTTTAAACAGGCAACCCCTAAACACTTCTAGGATTGTGGCTACAGTGAAGAATTTTGTCTATCCGAAGAGCTTAAATGAGCAGTAATACACAGATGCTAAAAACGTTACCAACAAATATTACCAATACTGAGCATAATCACCAGACAGCCAACTCTACTCAAATTAGAAAATCGTAGGAACGGTTAGTCTTGAATGGCACAATGCGTACTGAGACTTGAACACAAACAGTGTTCTCCATTAAAGCCCTTTGCTAGACGGCTTTAGCAGCATATGAGCAAAAACTTTCAGAAACAAACTATGTTACTCTGGTTCCTATGCAGTAAGCACAGAGATACATGTATTGAATTATTTTGACTTTTGCTGGCTTGTCTGGTCTTCCAGGCAAAAACTGGTATAGTATAATATATCTCTCTCTATATATATATAGATATAGATATATTATAGTTTATTTAACATGCATGTGGCAACTACAGAAGTTCCTCCCTAACCCCACCACTGCAACATGCCAAATACTAGCTTTAACAGAACTGTTGCCATCCCATCAGACAAGCAATGGGCCTTCTAGCTTTCAGGATTCCTGTGTTTTTCCCATCAATTCTTTTTTCTGTTGTTTGGAACATGGGGCAGGGTGAATGCATAAGGCTTAGTCAGTCTGTAAATATTTTTGGACAGTTCTAGCTGTGCTCTGAATGTGACGTTGTACTGAAAGAGCACAAAATGGTAGATGCTACCAGGCATTAAGAACTGAGCACGATCAGGGGGAAGAAGTTTTGACAGACTACAGTGTGAGGCAGGAGGAACTGTGCTAGGAGCCCACAGGTCAAGCACAGAGACTACAGCTTTGCAGTAGGCAGCAGGGAGCCCTTCTGGATCTCAGAAGTGACAGAGACCCTCCCCAGGGAGCGGAAGAGACTAGACAGAACTGGCAGCAGCTTTCAGGAGTTACTTCCTCCAAGGATACAATAGGTAAGGTAGACTTGTATTTAAAACCTTTAATTTCTGTTCTGTCTTTCCTAATCCTTTTGAGTTTTCCGTTCAGGAAGCTTATCTGCCTATTTCATGTTCTTATCAAGAAAGAGAGTCCAGTTTGGATCGCTGAAGCCCACAAGACCTGTAAGCTCCTTCTGGTATCTAACGATCATTTGTCAGTCCTTTCAGAAATGGAACCTAAATCGCAGCAAGAGAGAACAAATGAACTTTTACTGTGATCTTATACAACCCTGCTGTGCTTCAGAACTTTAGAGCAACAACTATCTATTTCTGCATAAGTATTTCCAAAGAACGAGGGAAAGATATTCAAAGAGTACCAGCTAAGAGCAAACATACTTCAAAACAGAAAATGTTTTCCAGACTTTTATGAAGTATTGCTTAGTCTTTTAGAACTTGCTGAAGACATGTTTTTGGATCCAGATCTGAGCAATTCATGAGGCATTAATAGTCAATTCTGCTTACGATAATCTGTTTCTTTGCAAGGATGACTGTGTCAGCTGATTTCAGAATATTCCAGAAACTCCAACAAAATCATTTTGACAATCTTTGGTTCCCACAGTCACAGAGGACAGGGGTACATGTTTCAACATTCATGCTGAAGACCTATCTCTCATGCACAGAATGGGATTATTTTCTGGAGAGGGAAAACTGAGGGATGCACCCAAATTAAAAGATTAAGCATGGCAGTGGTATGTGATAACTAAACAGTGAGCTAATCAATAACCTTAGTAGCATTTCACACTACCTCAGCAGCATCTCCCCGAGGACTTAAAGACTGATTTAAGCCATACAAGACTCCCTGACTTGGGAGGTATCAGTCTCCTCTTTAACAGACGGAATAAGGAAGCAGAGAGAGACTAAGAGCAAAATGCAAAGAGAAGACGACCTCAAATGTTCTTTGATAAATAATTGTTCCTTGAAATTCCTTAACTAGAGACTAAAAGGAGGTACAGTGTAATCATAAAGTATGCTCCCAAGATTTACATCCGCTTTCTCTCAGCTGCAACAGAGCAAGGCAGCCATTGTAATTTAGAACATTCTTGCCTGTAGTGCAGAACTGGAGCTCAAATCTTTGATCACATTGCAGAAAGATGCTGAATAGGGTCATTGTGGGTAGGCCATGGAAACTAAGAGCTACCCTGGTTTATTTGTGAGAGTCTGGCTCCGATTCCTTAGAGCAGCACCTGCCTTGATATATGGCAGTAGCCTATCTGCCTTTATAAAATGTACATATTTTATAAACTGCTACATTGTTTTCTAGGTATAAGAAACCGGAATGCCAACTGCCTGAAACTGTCAAAACCTGGAAATAAGAAGGACCTCATTTCAGGCAGGGAACTCTGTTTTATCAACAGATGGTACAGACGCTGTCTTGTCTTCTCTGTTTAGTACCCGATTCTATATTTTTCAGCTTGATGCAAAATAACTGGGCTAAGCCAGTGAGGCCACAGTAAGTATATAAGTATAAAATAAATGTCCAGCAATTTTTTTTGTCAGTGCACGCAGGTCTTGCAAAATGGAATCATGCAGGCAGGAAAGAGAGAGACGTACCTGTTTTAAGGAGCCTTTCAGGGTAAGAAACATGTATGCCATATAGCCTGGTATCAGCACCATAGAAGACAAAGCCATGAACCAGCCAACCCCTTGGCCCCATTTTGGGAAAACGTAACTTCCCATCGTGAGAGGAGTCATTTGGACAGCGCTGAAGATAAACACTCCCTGAAAAATACAGTGGAAAAAAGGGTTTGGATGAGATTTACACCGCGTTCTGTGTTCAGGAGTTCTTTGGGATTGACTTGGACCTCAGTCTAAAGACTGCTTCTACATCTGGATAGAGAGAAAAGGGTTCCCCTGTTCCCTAGGCACTGGCTGCTTGTAGTGGGGGCCTACAGGCCAGTCTTCCAGGTGGAGAAAACAGGCAACTGTCAGCCCACTGCACTGATTGATTCCCTACTAGCTTATTCTCTAATGTGGGATTGTGTGAATAACTGGACTGTACGTTCTGTTGTGAAGTTGTGTAATGTTTCATTAGGAAATGTAATGGAAACCAACAGATTTAATAATAGTTTCAGTACAGCTCTACAGCGCAGGTCAGCACAGACTCCTAGAGGCTCAGTAGAAGAAGCACTCTTGAAAGCTGTGCCTGTAATGACCTCTCTTGTATCACCGCCTAAGAGTGCTTGGCCCAGAGGCTTTGATTTTGTTCAGATCCTCTGAGTAATCTCGTAATGGAAAATGAGTGCAGTCAGAATGCAACCTGCAGCTCAGTAAATGGCTGCGGATTTGCCTGTGTAACAGAACTTCTTAGGAAATTCAAGAACCACTTTGAATCTTTCAATAACAAGAGGTGAGCAGATAATTTCCCAAACAGCTTGTTACTAGAATCAATATTTTTGCTGCATTTTCACATACATAACCTGCATCTCAGATTATCCATGTGTGCTGGTACTTGGAATCCACTGGTACTAGTAGAGTCCTCAGATAACCTGCACAAAATCAGAGGGAAGGGGGCTATTGGGAAAGATGGGGATGCTAGGGAATGCTTCCCCAATAATACCTATATTCCGTCCCATTGAACTGTATCAATTGTGGGTTGCTTTTGTGGGCTTTTTGCAAATAGATTACCTGAAAACATGGTATTTTTTCCATCAAGTTCCCCAGGGAAACTTCTGTCCCAGCCTGTTGCAAATGTCTAAAACAGCTTGCACCAGAGAAGACCTGCTTAACTGTATCAGCAAAAAAGCAGCTCACTGTGATCCCAGGTTGAACCCTTGTGTAGCAGACTTTCCCAGAGGGGAGAATGTAAAGTGTGGCTTTTATTATCGTATCGTCATCACCTTTGAATTTGTATTGGACAACAAATTCTGTTGAAGACTTTTTACCAGATAGGAGGAATTTGCTACATTATACATCCAATATTCTGCTCTTCTTCCTATGATACTACTGAAGTAAGCAAAAAATATATATATATTTTTCTGAACAATTTATTTTCAGGAAAATAAAAGGCTTCTTCGTTTAGGTAGAGATAAATCAAGGAGCCCTCTGTAGAAACAGAATTCCGTGCCTCTCTGTAGTGCTATTTCTTTGCTTTTCTATGCTCTTTGGTGACTTACTTATAAGGGAATAGTAGAGAAATAGCAGTGAGTGAGAAGTACCATGTCGTAGGTAACAGGGTCTACTTAGTTACAGTTTTTCTATTGCATTTCAGTTTGCTACATTTTGTATAGCTAGTTCAATTTCTTTGCTTATATTTCCAAAATATACCATATGGGCTTAACTGGATAAAGCTTAGAATCATTGTAAAAGACTGAACTATAATCTCCAGTGCACAAAATCCTTGCAAAGTTTGCCAGAAAATCCAATAGCAATATAGTGTCATCTGGGTACTATCTTCCACAGAATCCTGTGAAAGAAGAATCTCAGTTTAGTGCCTGTGAAGGAATTTGGTTTACAAGAGGTGAGCATTTTTGTGTATGTGGAAGTTTTAGAGTTTAGAGAGGTTGCTAAAAAACACCATTTACATTGCTCAAATCATATAGTAAAAGTTTGTTTCTTACTGCCACAATGATAGGAGTAAAGAAAGACCAGCAGAGTTTCCACCAGATGCAGGGTCTGTATCCAACCATCTCTTGGATGTTGTCATAAAATCTGTTAACACCTAAACATGGAAGTTTGAATCAGTTATCTGATAAGTTTCTATACTGTTTCTATTGCAAGTTGAAGGGGTTTGAGAGACTTGTCTCAAATGCAGGCTCTGACATAACTCTTCACCTGTATGAACAGGAAAGATATAGGCAAACTCAGGAGCACCGAGAATCATTTGCAGTTTTCTCATCCTGACACATCATAATTAATTCATTAGCTACCAGTAAAATATTCTCATGCCAAGTTTGAGCAATTCTGTATATTTGAAGGTCAGATGCAATAAAATACCCTGGGCTAATTTCAACTTTAAGCCTTTTTTATCTTGTTTAATCTTGAGAGACTTAGAATGGTATGTTACAGAGCAAATTAAAAAAAAAAAAAAATCCATCCCTGCCTTAACTAGCAGTACAGTGTCTTCACCGCATATTGCTATATACACACAATATGAGTGCAGAACTGTGTCTGAAAGGAAAGAGTAGCTCTACCATTGTTATTGGCTACCAACCCTTCCTCATCTTTCAAAAGGTATGTCTGTCATATTATTTATAACCTTGTATTTAATTTCACTGGGAAAGTTTCATTTATCTAGTTCTGAGTCAGTTTTGTAATTCAAACAAAAGTTCCTTGGAACCAATCCTGGAAGTAGGTCCTTGGACTAGCTAGCACAGAGCTAAGGTTAAATGCACAAGTACTATGGCAAGAATTCGATGATATAGTGTTTAGTCATCTTTATAACCACAGATCGTCAGCCCAGACTTGTGGATGTTTTAAGGCAATTATGTAAGATACAATTGGCCAAGGAGCTGAGCTCTCACTGCAAGACTCCAGAGTGACAGAGTCATTTCTGGAAATGAAACATAACAATTTAGGTCTCTTGGACTTTGTAATGTTGAGAACAGCAGTACCTAAATACATCTGAAGATCTAGGCTTCCTAAAGGATCAGGAAGGGAGATGCCACCTCTTTATTTTTCTTGGGACACTTAGCATTTAAGGATTCCCAGTCTAATGCATAGGGTACTTTAAAGAGACAGGAGTAGCATCCACAAGCCACTTTTAAGTCCTCAGTGGAGTTCCAGGCACATAAAACAAAGCAAATTTCAGTTCTGCCTTCAGTGTGTACACACACACACACCAAAAAAAACAAATTAGCAGATGAAATATCCTTATGATGTGGTAAACTTGTGGAAAAAACAGAAACACATTCCTTACCATAGCACCAGGATATGGAGATGCACTCAAAGAATACAAGGAACAAGAGACTCATTCCACTGGCAGAGTAGTAGTCAAAAAGCTTGAACACATAGATTCCACCCTATAACATATCAGAATGAAAGGGTAAAATAAATACTAATCATTCTAATTTCAACATATATTAAAATACAAGCTACTGTTCCTTAACTAACAGTGGTAAATAACTTAAAAACATATTCATGTTAATTAATGTTAACAAGTTAAGTCTTATAACACTTGAGGTCAGTATTGGCAAAAATTTACATTACTGCTAGAATTCAATTAACTGGTTTGATTTTGTTTGTACTCCTTTTTGGCCAAGAGTTCAATCATTTCCCTGAACTAGTTTGCAACCTAATAGATCAGGGGAGCAATGGGAAACACCCCTAGCTACCACTTCTTGGACTGTAATACAGATCATCATAGAGATAGATGTTTTCTTGTCACCTGAACCATTAAGTAGGCCTCACTGCATCCAGTGACTACAGCCATTTCACACTCATAAGTTATTGTCTGTTGCCTGAAGTCTTCAGATGTTGTTGATGATAGAGCTGGGGTGGTGGAGGTGAGGAAACACACTTAACCACTTAGAGTTATTATATTTCTAAACAAATATAAACAATAAAGTTGCACTGGCTGTGAAAAAAAGCTTCACATGCTTCATTTTTAATGAGTCCTAATTCGGGGCAAAAAAGGGGGGGGAGGGGGGCAGGGAGAGACCAAAAAAAAAAACCATCAAAATACTTCCCCCCCCCTCCCCAAATTGCTGTAGGTCAGACATAAGATTACATTCTTCTGCAGAACCTACCTGAGTAATATTGGACAATCCTATCAGATAGGAAACAATGCACACAACAGCAATGAAGAGTTCTCTCCGATTGCGGAGTAACTTTGGAAATTCATCTACCAGAGCTGTTATGAATCCTTCCACAGTGCAGAACTGCAAGAAAAGTTACAAGTAAAATACATTGCAATGCACTGCAACTGCAGGATTACGTTTAGGGGAAAGTTTTCAATAGCACTCATCACCGGCCTAAGGCTGTATCCTTTAAATGGTAAAGTTAACTCACTTGACTTCAGTGGAAGCAGTGCTTCTGAATGCTTTGTTTCTATCTAGAAGGATCTGTGAAAGAATATTTCCAGCTAGAAAAACACTCAAAATTCAAAATTATGAACTAGTATGTGCTTTATTAAGATAAAGTGCTCTTTTTTTTTTTTGTGATAGACGATGATATGCCCACAGTTCTAGTCTTTGACCGCAGAGTCTTCAAAAACTTATATCCATCATTTCTGTAGTTTACTCACATGCATGAAAGCCAATAGACACAAAAATTTTTATGAGATTGTTGCTTCAGGGTAAAGATCAAACACACAAGATTGAGTCTCCTATGTTATAAATCAAATACTTGTACATCTTACTGTTGCATTGACTTTCTTGGAGCTACACTGAGGATGTGGTCCTCCAAATGGAAAGCACTGCGATACCGCAGATTTTTTTTTGTATGTATGTATAATAAATGGTTTCATTATGATAGCCGAAATAATGAAAATCTGAACATATTTGAAGTTTTATTCATTTGCAGGACTGCAGTGAGAATTTAACCAATATTTATAGTTCTTCTTAAAAACTATAGAGCATGAAATGTTTCACTGATGGATGGAAAAA